CTCAGTCCATTTTATTTACTTTTAACATTACTTGATTATATTCTAATCAGGTCATTCATGAAGACTACAAGTTCTCGAGAAAAAGAAAAAAGATATTATTTCAGTTATATAATATGTATGAGTGGATTTATATTTTGGACATTATTTCATATTCATGCATTATTTTATTCTGATATTGTTGAAATGAAATCGGATTATTTTTATTGTTCTTTTCAAGTTGGTTTCTATGCAAGATTAATGAGATATTATTCGTTAATTATGAAAGGGATTGTGATACCATTATTATTTGTAACATTTGGACTATGGATAATAAAGAATTATCGAAATACTTCTCGTGTTATGTGTATAAGTCATCTGGAAACTGTTGAAAATGAAAGAAAATCAAAAGATCGAGAAATGATAATGATATTAGTGAAAGATATAGTTGTTTATATAATATTTAGTTCAATCACGTCAATAATAATGATATATGAATTAATAACAGAACATCATATAAAGAATGTGGAAGAAAAAGAAGTGGAATATTATATTCGATATCTCGGTATGTTTTGTGTTAGTATGTCATATTGTTTTGGATTCTATACAAATGTATGTTTTTCGAAAAGATTTCGAGAAAATGTGAAAAGTATTGTTTGTTGTGATGTAGTTGAATGATGGCATGTGATATTGTTATTATAAACCATATATTTATTTATATTGTTGAATATGAAAATAAACGAAGGAAGTAATGAATAATCACCTTATACATTGCAGCTATGAATTAATGTATGAAGAACATTATGATAAGAATGTTAGTGCGAAGATCTTATTCACCATAGAAAATCATGCAGATTACCACTCGGATCCACAATTCGATAGATATTTATACATTGAAGGATGTAGTGTATACTAATTTATTCTTGTAACGGATTAAAATGTATTTTCGAATGTATAGTTGATTTTATATAAGTAAACTGAAAAAAAAATGATTATTATATTTCAATGTGAAGTTCATCTATCATTAAAATCTGAAATAGAATGATTTATTACAATGTTCTTTTTTATTTCAATAAAGTTTCAGTGTTAAAAACATATACATTCTGTCCATTCTGATGATTCACTACAGGAACCGGTTGTATACCCTTGTGTCTTACAATATTCTTGACATTGAACTTCATATGTTGCGAATAGTCCATTACAGCCATTATTATGAATGATAGGTTTCGAAACTTCGGCTAAAGTATCGTTAACTACGTCATGAATATTAATATGATCTAATAAATATTCTAAATTTCAATTTAAGAAAAAGAAATTAATAACTACCTGATATCTGCTCATCATGATTTTCTACAATTACAATGGAACTAATCAAAATGAGTATGATCAAAATCGATCTATTCGATAGCATTGTATACATCTTATAGATTATTGTAAAGAAACATACATTTGATCGAAAAATAATATTGATTTTATTTTATTATCAAAGATGAAAGAATGAAAAAACAAACCATCGAATATGCATATAATCGATTATGAAGAAAGTTAGTAAATATTGATTATTAGAACGAATATAGCATTATAATAAGAAGCATGAAAACCGTCAATAATCATTAATATACAGATAAGAAACAACCAATTAGTATTACCAAGCATGAATCAAAATAGAATCCATGATAATACAGTTAGAATAATACGAGTTCATTCTTTTTATTGATAATCAAAAGAAAAAGACAAAAGTAATCAAAGATATAAAATCCAACAAAATGAAGCTGAATTTTATAATTCTATAGATTACTGTAGTCTTACGAATGACAGAAAAAAAGAATAAAGAAAAAGACAATATGTATTGAGAATAGAAGAAAAATTAGAAAAGAATTTAAAAAGAGAGCACGATAAGATATAAAATGTTTATTTTTATATTGCAGTCATGTTGAGTATGTTCATGTTTCATTATAATTAGCAAGTTTCTGAAAACATTACAATATATTGTTCACCGAGAAGAATAAATTCTATTTTCTTATCTCCATTCATATCAGCTGCTGTTGCATAGGTCATTACAGAAGTGTCGATTGATGACACACCAATTGTATCTAATTGATATGTCAAACTTCCATTGCCTGCATTAAATGCAACACCTATTGATTTCGCTTCAGAGTGTGTAAAAACAATATCTTGTGTACCATCATTATTCATATCGACTACTTCTAAAGAGTTTTGTTTATAAGGAATATTATAATTGATTGTATCAGCAAATGTACGATTGCCACTATTAAATATTATTTGATAATGTTCCGAATAATCTGCAAAGATTATATCAATAAGGCCATCATTATTCATATCGGCAATTTTAAAAGAATGTGGTTGAACAGAGTTTCTTGAAAAGATCATTTTATTGGTGAATGTATTATCACCATTGTTGAAAAGTATGCTGATATCTCCTGAACGATGAGCAACAATAATATCGGATTTAGAATCCTTATCCATATCGACTGCCCTTACACGAACTGCTCTTGATTCAGTTAAATCCACATCTTCAATAGTAGTAAATGTTCCATTACCGTTATTAGAAAAAACACCTACTTTGTTAGTGGAATACACAACAATAATATCATTACGGCCATCTTCATTGATATCAGTTACTACTACGTCTTGTGCTGGAGCACCGGTTCTAATCGTTTCAGTCTTAAATGTATCATCACCATTATTAAAAAAGAGCCCGATATTATTTCTAAACTGATTTCCAACAATAAAATCGACTTTCTTATCATTATTGATATCTGCTGCTACGAGAAATCCTACTCCATTGGTACTTGAATAAACTGTTTGGCGATACGATGTACCATCACCAGAGTTGAGCAAAATTATTATACTGTTGTCAGTAGAATTCGCAGTAATAATATCATTGAAGCCATCTCCGTTGATGTCCTCTACTACCATCGAAGTTAACATAGTGCTCATAGAATCGTTTGTGCCATGTAATAATTCTTTGAAGCACAATTCTAACAACAAACACATTTTATCATTCTTATGCAAAAATGTAGTCGAGGATAATTTCATTAAGATGGAACAATAACAGATCTATTTATTATAATAAAACACTACCTGTCAGCAATTATTAGTTTTTTTTCTATATTGTCTCCATATCGTTTAAATTAATTAGTTTTCATTTTTCTTTTATTCTTTGGACGCTTTCATCTATCTCGAACATGATAAGCTATCGACTATTAATTTTACTCCTTCATAGCTATATAAAAATGTTCATAACGATGATAACAATAATTAATTCAATATAATTACTATTTATCTATTTGATCCTTTGATACTTCGAGAGTACGAATAGTAAATATAAAATGAACTGCTAATAGAACGATTCTAACTCTTTATTAAACTTAAGCCATTCTACGAATCATATATGTAAAAATAATTTACAAATTTAGGTATACTCTGAGAAACACAATTTGCCTTTCATAAATAAAGATAGACAACTTTGTATGATGTCCATGGAACTAGTTAGTATTTTTCTCGTTCGATATTATTAGACTATACCGTTAATTATGGTTTCTGTTGTTTCCATTAACGCTTTGGTTGTTGTAACTACTCTTGCTGTTGATGTTGTGGTTGTTACTCTTGTTGTTAGTGGTGCTGTTGTTACTACTGTTATTTTTGTTGTTGGTGGCGTTGTTACTGTTGCTTTTGTTGTTAATGGTCTTGTCACTGTTGCTGGTGTTGTTAATGGTATTGTCAATGTTGTTGTTGTTGTTGATGGTCTTGTTACTACTGCTGTTGTCGTTGCTGGTGTTGTTAATGGGCTTGTCACTGCTAGTGTTGGTATTGTAGTTGTAGTATTATCTGTTACTACGTCTTTTGTATCACTTTTTCTTGTTAAAACAACAGATAGTGTTATAACAACAGTTATTACCACCAAAATAGCAGCAATAATAGTAAAAAGTATGGGCTTTCGCATCCTTTTCGTGGAAGATACTTCTCTAAATTATTTATAATATACTGAATGTATATATAATACTACCGATCAAGCAGTTTATGTTTTATAACAATATCTATAATTATCAAGTTTTGTTGAAATATCAATAAATAATCAAAAGATTTCACTCGAAGTAAGTTATTTTGCAGAAAAAAAATCAGATCTTTATATACATACTCGTATAATTCTTTTTAGTTAACTTGAATTTATTTGCACAAATGAATCTTACTTAAATATATATAGATAGATAAAGACAAGACAACTTCAAGTATTTATTTTTTTTGAATTAATTCGATACACAGATTAGAAATAAAGCCTTTTTTTATTTCTCTGATAAAACAGACGTCTAATTCATCTTGGAATAATATTATGAAGTTATATATTACCTTGGTTTCATTTTATTCAATCACTTTATTATATAAAATAAATCTTATTGAAATAAAAAGATTGTATTGATAAAATAAAGTTAATCTTTTTCCAAAACTTTACACACCAGATAATCCTTTAAAATGAAAAGATATGTTATCAATGAATATTCAACAAAATAAAGAAAGCCAAATTAATCATGTCAAGAATGGTTTTTGATAAGAGAAGCTTGATAAATTCCATTATTTTCAGTTAATATTCAATAAGTGACTACATATTTGATCTTTTGAAATTATAACTATATGAATCAGTCTTTTTTTTATGCTTCATACTTTAATATATAGAGATCCCGCTAATAACTATTGCTAAGATCAAAACATGAAGTTAATATTTGTGAAACAGTATAGTTATACCCACAAGTGTTATAAATAATATGACGCTTTTTTATACCATATTTATTTATTGAATTTTATATAAAAAAAAGATTTAAATAAACCAATATATGAATAATGCAGTTTAAAACGAATCAATAATTTTTTCATGCAATATATCGTCTCTAAATAGTCTATGGACTATAATGTTTTGAAAGCTTTTAGATAAATATAATGAAGGATGTGAGTATCGTATCTATATCTTACTCATCCGTTTCATACTCAAGCGATGAACCATCATGCGTTCACCAGTTTCAATTGCTTGACATAAATAACATGCCTGTTCACGCACACTGATTGCTGGAGTATAAACCTTTTTTGGAATTCAAATTTGTTTATATATTTAAAAAAAAAGTGTTATATCTAAAATAATTTCATTGTTTAATCAAGCTTATTGTAAGATGACACAGATGTAACAATATGATAATCTACACAGTCAAAAATACTACAATAATCTGAAATTCGACTTATATGTAATATGACGAAGATAATAACAAATCTCTTAATCAATAGTGAATTGGATGTTGTTGAATCAGGGAATAATAATCTTTTTTAATTATTTGCGAGGTATTAAACGTCTGGTCATGTCAATTCTAAAGGGATAATTTTACTAGTATCAATATGCTTGCCGAAAGTTAGAAAAAATAATAAAAATAAAAGCCACACATCATAAAAAAAGAACTGATAATGAAAGTACTGAAGCTCTAAACACACATTGAAGGAAAGCCTGAAACTGTTCCCTTAGCTTCATCTGCTGTTAACTCACACTCAGATACCTCTCCTATTATTAATTGTTCATGTCTGATCACTGTAGTATAAGCATCATGCAGAGAGCATAATAATTTTACCAAATGCGTATACACCACTTAGATGACAATATCTGACGAACTTATTAACACTTTTTTTATTGTTGTTTATAGTGTATCTACTGATATTGTACGGAGATTATTATTTACGGAAAGTTTCAACCACTTATTCATTATTTGGCATGACTAGATAAAAACATTTATATTCCATTGTTCGAAACTACACAGAGAGTAATAGTAAGGTTATAAACGAATGATTTTGCGTAGATACAAGTTGTACAATTTGATATTTATGAGAATACTGCTTATTTTCAGAAGATATTTGTTGACTGTGACTGTGCAATCTTCTGAAGTCTGGGCACATCAGCTAAATCTAAGATAAAATCAATCCAATCCATCAATATGTCGATAGCATTCATCTATGAAATATTTACAATTCTTATTTCAAGTTCTTCCTAAATATACTTTTAGATATTTTTGTCTCAGTATTGATGAGCATAAAAAGTGATAACGTCTGTAAAAACCACGAATTCCAATTGTAATCTAATATACAAACTATATCCACATTCAGTAATTTATACTGAAGTTATGATTAGTTCGCTGAGATCTGTCGAAAAAAACCGACCGTTGACCGTAATTCTCATATACTTGAATCTTTTTAACTCTTAGAAAACTCTTCAGATTTTAGTCGATGTAGTTAAACCACCTATGACAGTCACATTAGTTATTTTGGCATAGTTCTCAAGTTTGATTATTAATTAACTAGACCACCACAAAAATGAACGTTGACGAGATTAATGAACCAATGGAAAAATTGCAATGCCATCTAACATAATATGCTGTAACAAACTAAAGTGGAGTTTTTTAGTAAAAATTCACATTTCGAACATAGATAAAATAATTAATAAAATATTCTCAGAAAAGTTCTTACAAAGGCGTAAACCGATTCAACCGGTTAGCGTCGGATTTTGAATAAAAAAAAGACGGCATGAGGATGCATCTTACTTTCTTTCTGTAATGATGAAAAGATTAAACTAAATTATTATGTCTCTGACTATACAAAAAAAAAGCAGATATTTGTTAATCTAGCATAGCAAATTTTTAAAATATCAATTAAATTGGACGATGGAATCTCGAAATCATTTGAGATATTAGTAATAGAGATTGACTGTAGTATTTATTTGAGGAAAAAACTTGTTTCTGATTTGAAATGAATATGATTTGATGAATCTCTCATTTTATTTCTATAATAACATGTAGTTTTTTAAACATTATATTATATAAAAAAAACAACTGAATTTTTTTCCTTCTAAAAGCGATATTTGAGTTTCTGTGAAAAACAAAAAATTTTCTGCTAAATTAAGATTAAGCTAAGCAGATAAATTCTTCATATTTTATATATAGATAAAACATTTCGTAATTATGTTTTTATGACGTATATAAAATTAGATCATTTCTTTTTCCATAGAGATACGTAGACATTCATATTAATTTAGGTAAAATATATAGAAAGAAAAAAAAACTTTCTTTTCTGTCAGATGACATTCTCTGTGACGTTAATTATATCCAACGACTTCTTCCGGATAAAGAAGAAAATTTTTAGTCTGATGAACAGAATAACAACGTCGGTAACTAATCATATATCCATCATATCTAACATAAAAAAAGATTGTTCCAAATGTTCTATAATTATTTCCACATAATCAACTCTTCTTGAGAAGCTCATCTCGACTGTTTCCTACGCGTTCATAACCTAAATTTTCTAACTAAGAATGATATTTCGCTCGATGATAAAATGAAGGTTCTCACAAGTCAGATTTTAATAGAAGATGTTTTTCTATATCATACTTTACTATTTTAGTGGTACATATATATGATATTTATATCATGTGTTAGAAGATTTAAAGTATATTCGCTTGAAAATTATTTACCCCTTAATGACAGAATGAAGCATCGATGTATTTTTGGACATGAACAAGTTCATTTATATAAGTATATATTATGTGAGGGCACCTAATTGGGTAACAATTCCCTAGAAAACTTTTTTTTCCGTTGAATAAGACTATAAATAAGTTTTACTTACTTTTATTAAAAAATTTTATCTCCACTTCTGATAACAGATTATGACAGATACTGACAATACATTTATTAGACTGTAACTTTTTAGAAATTGCAAAAATATACGTTTCCTCGAATAACACTAATTCTTTCTTCTTGTTTTATATTCATAATTAATTAGATCATACTATGACTTCTACTTCGACCAGCCAAAATGACATTACACAACTGCTTGATATTGCTGAATATCTTTTTGCTTATGTTGGTTTAACAATTTTTATTTTGGGTACTATTGGAAATTTAATCAATCTTTTATCATTTATTCGACTTGAAAGTTTAAAAACATTAGCTAGTTCATTATTCTTACTTGCGTCTTTTATTGGTAGTCAGATTGTATTAATAACTGGACTTCTTACACGTGTTATTAGTGGTTTCTCAGGTATTGATCCTGTAAATACGTCTGTTGTTCTTTGTAAAATTCGTTGGATGATAAGAACAGCAGGTGGTGCCATTTCATTAACTTGTGTTTGTTTAGCAGCAATTGATCGATATCTATTATCCTGTCAAAATGTACGTCGTCATCGACTAATTACAATTAAACGAGCACGTTGGGCTATTTTTATATCATGTTTCTTTTGGTTAGGTGTATTTTCATCTTACGCAGTTTATTATACCGCACCAAAACCACTGTCTTGTACGATTGCTGATCCATTTTTTGCTTATTTTGCTTCATACTTTAATTTATTACATTATAGTATTTTACCATTAAGTATTCTTTCATTTTTTTGTACGTTAACATGGCGTAATTTAGGACAACAGCCAGCAACATATTTACGTGGTGGTGTTCGATTATATGATCAAGTAACTCGAATGTTAATTGCTCAAAGTTTGGCAATATTAATTACTTCATTTCCTAATATGATTTGGCAGATTTATACTGTTTCTAGTAATTCAATAGTCAAAAGTGCTTTACGTAATGCACAAGAAAATTTAATTAATACAATTTGTGTACTGATTGGATTTAGTACACATGCAATATCATTCTATATTTATTTACTTGCTTCTCCTACTTTTCGAAAGAATGTTAAACAAATGTTTTTAAGATTTCGTCAAATTGCACCTTTAACAAATGTTGATACTGGTAAAATAACGATAATAGATGGGCATCAACAAACAATATTACCTACTTCTTGAAACACACTACTTCTTTTATTGTTGACAATATATCATATAATATAAAACGTACAGAATAACTATGATATGATGAATGAATATAATTACAGACCAGAAGGGTGGGTGTGGATGTGCTATGTTCGTCTCTTGCTCAAATACACACCCACCCCTTTTCTGTTATAGTATATAGGACGAATTTTATAATTATTATTTGTTTGTCAAAACGAAATTTATTTTATGGATTAAGATTCATACAATACATTGAAAACCTGAGAAACATGTGTGTCTCTCCAGATAATTGTTTATTATTAGAATATCTATATTAGATATTTGCAAAATGGATTAGTGAGTTACTGCATGTGACATTCAATGCTTATTTCATCATTCGCTGATTTGTCGACTTTCACACCAGGTGCATCTGCTGATCCATTAAGAAACTCAGTTGGAAACTCTTTACGAATAAATTCTGTTGCTACAGGATGAAACATTTGATAAAATGCAACAAATATTTCATCTTTGTCTTCTATAGATAAATTCATGTAGTCCGGATGTTTCTTAACTACAATTTCATCGAAACCCGCACTATATAAATCCAGAGTTTTTTCAATTTCTATTGCTGCTGGACGTCGCTCTGGATGATGAAGTGTGCATCGAGCAATTAACTCATCAAAGATAGGACTTTGTTCTTGAAATGCAATTTTATGAGTAGATGATTGAAATGAATGTTGTTTTGAAGTAAATAATTCATTAAGCGTTAAACCAAATGTAAAAATATCGAGTTTTTGATCGTAACTACCTTGGTAAAACTCTGGCGGCATATACGATTGATATCCAATTTGTGTATGTTGATTAAGTGGATCGACCACTCGTGCAATTCCAAAATCACCAATTTTTGCTAAGTAATTTTCATTAACAAGAATATTGTCTGGTCGAATATCTCTGTGAATCATACGGTGATCATGAATTTTACGTATTCCACTAGCAATATTTCTTGCCATGTCAACTTTACGTTGCAAAGATATTTTGTCACCTTCTTTTTTAATAACACTGGAAAGACTTCCACGAGACATGTATTCCATTACAAGCATATATCTTTTGTTTGAACCCACTCGAGATGCTGTAAATCCATACATTTTGAGTATATAAGCACCTGAAAGTTCTGAGTAAGCAATCAATTCTTGCATAAAGCTCTTTTCAAGTCTTTCGGCAGCACTTGTTCGAGGAATAGTAATTACTTTACATGCAACAGGGCGATTCTTTGATAACCATCGAGCTTTGTATACAGAACCTGAAAAAAAAGAAAATACATAATAACAAAATTAAATATCATCTATGAAGTATATACCAAATGCACCACTTCCAAGTTCATCACCAAGTTTAATATCTTCTACTGGAATTTGTTGAATTGCTCGACGCGCTGTAACAACAAGTGGATGAGAAGATTTATGTGTTTTTGTAGTAGTACCATTATCGACACATTTTTGACATAGATCATAGTTTGCACAACTGTCGCATTTAAATCTTAAGCCTTTAACAGACGGAGACATACATCCATCGCAAGTAATCGATTCGTGAATGTCATCAGCATATGTTTTTTTGAGTTTAGCATATGTCACGTCATCGTTTGTTACCGGTTGACCAAATAGTTCACCAGGCGATTTGTAATGAAGAAATGCATGTCCACTTTTATGTTCTTCAGGTTCTGTTCGACGTTCGAAACAAGGGCCACATAAATCTATGTCATCACAATTTAAACACTGGTAACGATCACTTCTAATTGGATGAGTATCACATGCTGCACAGCGTACCTTGTGTATTTCTTCAGTTCCACTAGTAGTCTTACCAGCACCATTTGCAAGTATTACTTGAAAGATTCTTCTAAGTGCTTGGTTACTAATGGTACTTTCACCATGTTTATCTTCTAAAAAATAATTAAAGATATCATGAATATACATGTCATTGTATCTTCGTAAATAATGATTGCACTTTAATTTCTTTCTTTTATATGTGTTGCTAAAAATACTGTATGCTGATCGTTTTAATCAATACTATTTCATATCTTTTTACAGATAAATTATATCTTACTAGAGTCTTCTTTTACATAGGTAAGGATATCGGAAGCAGATGAAGAAGTCATATTTAATGACTTAGTCTTGGATGTTGATGGTCTTTTGGGTTCTAGATATAATCAATATAATAAGAAATTTCAATCATAAAACGTTTTTACTTGCTACTGTTGCATTTGATGACGAATCTAAGTTATATTGAAGTCTTTCACAATCTTGTTTCGTTCCTACAGATATTTTTATAGATATATCTTGAATCTTTAAAATAAAATGAGATGTACCTTTTAAAATGACAACTCCTTTCCGTTTTTTTCCATTAAATTCGATGGTATACGTTTCATAGTTTAAAATAGAATCTGGTGAAGCTTGAACATGCTGTTGAGATAGAATATCGTACCCAGATGTATCTGACCAACGAATGAGACAAAACTCTTCTTTAGCATTATTATCATTCTTTTCTAAATTATATTAAATTATTTACTTATTATTATAATCAAATATAAACAAGATCTTACGTGGCTGTTTAGCCGATTTTGAGTCGCGAGATCGATTAAACATATTCTGTGCTTTTTTTTATCTAGAAAAATATACTATTGGTTGATCAGTTAACAATATACAATGACTTAATTAGGAAAGAAAAGACCTGTCACAGAATTTTCTATCAAGTAATATTTAGAACTGGAGGTTCATTCTTTTCATTTATGTTACGTACAGATCAGATCTGATTGTTTCGTTTTTGTAGAACTATGATCTCTAATAAAATTACATACTCTCATCGTTGACATATCCTAAAATTTCTACATTTCATTATAAGAATTCAGATGATCTAACTTAGGTGAATTATAAAATAATAAAAATTTTGATCAGTATTTCGTTCCACAACAGTGAGACTACTATGCATATGTGTGCTTTAAATTTAATCCATAACAATCTGAGTTTGAATAAAACTTGATATTCTTACGATTTTCACAAGTAGTAGGGAACTATTCCATTTTAAACATTAAGTATTGGTACATGGATAGAACACAACATACTACTTTGATGCTTCCTCGTCCTCCGCAAATGAATCGAATCAAATAAACTAAATTCAAGTACGACTGCTCTCACTACATAGAATCTAGTTAATTGAAATCTTCATTCTCAAAACTTTGATCAGCTTCTAAAAAGGCTGTATTCTAAGTCAGGAATGTTCTAATAACGTGTCAGTACAAATCTTACCATACAGTGACTACATACATTTCTTAAAATGACTTTGCTGGTTGGTGAATTTTATGAAGAAATAGTCAGATTAGCGTTTAAAACAAACAAAACTTGATTGAATGCAACACTCATACATATATATATATCTTACCTCGAATACAAATTATAATTGTTTTACTAATTTCATTTTCTGTGCTCTTATTCGCCAACTGCGTAATTTCTGTTGGTTCTGCTTGTCTTTTGTATGCATTTTACTACTACTACTGCATACGATGCAAGACATTTTAAAGAGTTGTTCTTTCGGGGAATTTAATAGTATGTGTAAATATACATTCCTTTTTTCCAACATAACATGCAAGAAGCAAACAGCGATGAAAAGAAATATTCTTTCATGTTTTTGTCATTCACTTCAGACATTGATGTTTTTTTTACAGCATGCACGTGGCAGAAAAAAGCTTGTTATAGTTGTACAAAACAAAATAACAAAAGCGTATTTAGATGAGTAGTTTTCATGTTAATATGCATCTAGAATCGCGTTACAAATACGAATTTTTCTGACTAACTATGACTAGTATTTACTGATTTGCTCTTGAAATATCTTAAGAATTATTATACCATAATTGGAATAGTTATATTCTCACCGTTCTTGTCTGGCATTCAATCATCGAAATGAATTAACAAAAGAATATTTTTAACTGTGAAATTACTTTCAAATTCGAATTTCATGCATAAATTGATTCTAATAAGTATATATTTTTTTTTCATTAAATAGGTAAATAATCAATGTAATTTAATTTAGATATTTTAAATAAAGAATATTTTAAAGATGAACAAATAGAGTCTTTACGTCGATTTTATCAATAATAAATGCATAAGACCATGTTCTATTCAAAATGAAAATACCGATGATAAATTAAGGAGCATTATTCTTCAATGTTCTATATATATCTTACGAATTCGTGCATCAAATTTTCATCATTTATTGACCTCTAGTCATAACGAAGAAGTCATGATAATTTAAGAAGAATATCATTGAATTAATGTTGATGAACCAGTCCGTCTATATTTTCTCCCTCAACTAAAGTATCAATTTAACATCTCTTGAATACGAAAATCTAAATAAAGAAATAATTTCTTTACATCTACCACAAAATATATTTATACAAATTAACAGACAGTTCAAAAAAATATCATTAAGTATATGTTTATCTAAACAACTGTCTCTTCTTTTGTTTCAACTTTGTCTGCAATTCCTGGTGCTTTTATAAGTATAAGTTGTCCAGTAGGACGATTACGTTTCTTCTTGTGTTTCTTTCGTCGAATTTGTTCTCGCTCTTCACGTGTTAGATCAATTCCAAAAAAATATTTTAATACATCCATAACTATAATAAATATCATAACACTAACCATAGCAATAATTGCAATATATGCAAATGATTTCGAAATTATTTTATAAATTATAATTTTAGTGGCAGTTATTTCACAGTGTCGACCGGAATAAAAATTACCAAGACATTCACATGTATAATTGAGTAATAATGGTCGACAAATACCATTATTTTCACAAGTAACATTCAAACAGTGACTTATTTTGTGTTCACAATGTTTACCTTCCCAACCAGATTTACATGAACAATTAAATGTTGCATTAAGTGTCAGACAAGTACCTGTGCAAAAGAACAAAATAGTGATTTAGATTATCTTTATAAAACAAAAACAAATACCATCGTTAAAACAAGTATCTGATTTACAAACTCGAAAGTCTAATTGACATTCGGTACCATTAAAACCTTCTAGACATAAGCAAAAGTATCTATCAACATTTGTATCATTGTTATAACAAGTTCCATTATTTAGACATGGCTGAAGTTGATTACATGGTGCGTTTGACACATTACAATGGCTACCGATTTCTGTTGAATCTTCACATGCGTGTGGATAAAAAATGTTCGGCAACTGTTCATCTAAATGATAAAGAACAATAAAATAAAATATCTGTATGAAAAAAACGCATACTTTTGTCAATTGATATTATTGTCACTTCTTCGACAAATGTTGCAGTTGAATCTAAAGAGTTATCGCAGTCGACATGCATAAATTAACTAATTTTTCTATAATCCTATTTTTTTATGTATTGCTTTAATAATAAACTACTATCAGTTAATTATATTGTTACAAGTAGAACACAAATCAAACACTCGCAACAGGCAGAAATATAATACTGTTTATTTTGACAGAATAAAAATGTTTTGTCTTATAAATTATCATATTAGATAAGTACATATTTTCTTTTAGTCCATAAGGTTCTAACTCATTCACCATTTAGTCAGTCACTATGACAATAATATAGAATACATACATGATTGTAGAGAAGTAGTTGTGCCTATTTCTTCTGTTGAACCATACGTATTTGTTAGTGCATTTGAAACTGTTGTTGTTGGATCTGTTATGGTGGTCGTTGTTAGATCTGAATTATAAACAAAGGCGATTCTTTCAAAACAAAATTGTTCTTTGGTACTTACTTTCTGTTTGAGTGGAATTTGAAGAAGTAGTTGTGACTATTTCTTCTATTGAAAGATACGTATTGATCGGTGCATTTGAAACTGTTGTTGTTTGTTCTTGTATGGTGGTCGTTGTTTGATCTGGACCTTAAACAAAGGTGATTCTTTCAAAAGAAGTTATTCATTACTACTTACTTTCTGCTTGAGTGAAACATGAAGAAGTTGTTATCGATTCGAAAGTTGATGAAACATTCGTTGTCGATTCTATTTCATAGAAAAACAAACATTTTACTTATCATATACATATTCTCTGTAGAAAGTCTATAGGCAGTATTTTTCAAAGAAACTTCATTAGTATCATCATGAATGCGAGACAGTTTATTCGAATATTATCAGTTTTTGATATTTGTGAGGGCAATACAATATTAAAATGCTTTTATCATATCGAACATTAGAGTTTGTTTGAAACAGCCATAAACTTTAGTTTTTTTTTCATAATTAAACTTACCACAAGAGTTTGTTGCAAGAGTAAATTTCTGAATTCGATGGCTATCTGTATCAGCAACATAAATATTACCAGAGCTATCAAAACGAATTGAGTACGGGCGATTTAACTCGACTGGCGATTCTTTGTTCGGTCCTTTGTACCCTAGTATATGTTGAAAATCGCTTGGTCCTACCCGAACAATACGATTGTGGTCATGTTCAACAATAAAAAGATTATCATTAGCATCAAGCACCACATCTATCGGGCGACGTAACTCAAGGTTTCGTGGAAATCCACATCCTGCAACTGTTGTTCCATTCTTCTGTCCTGATCGAAAACGTTGAATTCTGCCGTTTCCAGTATCGGCTACATATATAGTAAAATTAATGTCGACAAAAATTCCATGTGGATCTCTAAGTTCATGTGACGATGATCCGGCACGATCGCTTCCTGCAACAATAGTGAAATTTGTATAATTATCATTAAGTGAAGTTGAGATCACTTTGCTTTGATCATGAACAGAACAATAGATAGTATTGTTAATATCAATAAAAAGACCGTGGCAATGTCCCTCGAAATCTGCGACAGGTGTACTGTGATTTGTAGAGTTTATCCATTTGTAAATCTGACCTTTTTCACCTTCTTTTTCAAAGTAAATATCACCATTGATGGTAACAAATAGACTTGAGTACTTAGACACCGTAGTGTCTGCAATAACTTCTGATTCATTATTTCCTTCAAGCCATTTCAAAATCGTTTTTCTTTTGCCAGCAGCAACATATATGTTATTGTTGTAATTTATGAAAAATCTATGAGGCTGTTCTCCAATAATATCCACGCCAGCGATAGTGGTTCCATTTAGATCCCATGTTGCATTGGGACATAGTTCTGGCCGATTATACGAGACTAAAATGGAAAAAATATTAAAATGCAAAATAAATATTAATTCAGTAGTTTTGACAATGTCGAATTAGTTAAAAAAATCAGCATATATCAAAAATAAATTACAAGCTCTTTATGCATTATTTATTATCTAATAATAGACGCAAGAGATATTTTTCGCTGATATTAGAAAGATAAGCGTGTCTTCTCAACAGAATATGTCTAATTATCACAATGAAAATATTTCTTCAAGACTTTTCTACATAATTTTAGGTTTAGATACAACATTCAATTTGTACATCTTATTAATACTATATACTTTCAAACAAAAATAACTATGAATATTTACCATTTACAGCATTAGCAACTGATACAATAATTAGCCATGTTATAAGATAACTACTTGATGACATCTTGTATTTAAGATTTAATGAAGGATATAAGATTGTTGATGTTAAACAGTGCACAAACTTCTTCAAAAAAACAGAAATAATATATATATCAAATGTTTTTTCTTTTTATATTTACCTTTCTTTCAATTTTTCGCTGCCTACATGTTTACTAACAGATCGATTTCCGTCAATATGACTTTCAAGATTGAACGAACAATTTAATCAAACATAAATAGAGTTTTTACAAAGTATATTTGAGAGAGTATCATCAAAATAATTTATTTAAAAGTAATTAGAATAGTCATTTATCAGAAAAAGAAACTTAACAAATCATTATGATGCATATATTAATTGATTTTACTTGATTACAATCTTTGAAAGTATAATATTGATAATTGAATATATTTTTAGCAAACAGTCGATGTTAATCACAATTGTCAATATTTTTGTTACAAATTAATTTTTCATAAAAATCATTTTCTTATTGATTTACAAATATCTAATTCTCTTTTCCGAAAAAGTAAAGAATTATTTGATACAAAAAATAATTGATGTACGTTTTTTCTTAAATATTCAATAGAAGTACAGCTTTTCTTTATTGTTTTCACGAGTGATATTGATAGAAAACCAATATTTTTTCAAAATAAATATACAAAAAAGAGTTACTTTAGATTACCGTTGAATATGATAAGTCATGATTCCTATTCTTTGCTGATGGAGAAAATCTAAAGAAGATCATAGACGTTCATCAATGGCGAAGTTTCGATAATTCAAAAATCATATGAATCAAGTTCTGCAACTTAGTTGTAATACTAGCAGAAATAATAACTGAGGGTGTGAATGTG